ATGTGATTACCAACATGGATTTGAGAGAACCAACCACCCACAAATATGGTGCATTTTACTCTAAAAGTCTAGGTTTTTATACTCAAAAGATATTTACAATAGTAAGTTGGATGAATTTTACTCTCAAAATGAATTCTCAGGTTGGCATCTCAAAATGTATCATTAGTCATATATGACTATTTTTTATTACACTTTTCCGAACAAGTTGTTCGGTATGTGTCAAATATGGACATGTCTCAATATACTAAACTAAAGTGGATGTGCTTCATAGAGAAAGTGTCACATGTCACATATATTATGAACTTATCGAAAAAGTTTATAAAGCAGGTACCTTTTGTCTAATACATCCTAATCCTATCACTCCTTAAATGAACTACCGAACACAAGTATAAGTAATTAATGGGCATGCATTTGAAACTAAGCAGTAAAAAACCCAAATGAAGGCTAAGAACGCAACCTTTGGCAAGAATATACTGATATGCTATCCATACTACAAGTGCGAAAAGCTACAAATCAAGAAGAACAAGCCCAACTTACTATTTCCAGACGGGAGGAAGCTTCTTTGTCTTCTTGTAGTAACGAGCAAGCCTGTGAATTCTGCTCTCAACAAGAATCAAACGAAATTTGGAGTCCTTATCCTTCCTGTTCCTTTCCAAATGCTTCCTAATTGACACTGCCTTCTTAATAAGGTGGTATAAATCCTCAGGAATTTCAGGAGCAAGACCTACACACCAATTCAAGGAAATTCAAAAAATCTGCATCGATACACTTCCACGATCAGCACCCAAAAATCTAAATTAAAAGAAAGGGCTATCTTAAAATATAAAACAGATTACAACGAATCCTTCCAATTATCTCACAATTTTCTGATTTCCAAAAACAAATTGTTACACTATCAAAGAAAAAAAGGTTGTACCATGAGCCTTGAGAATACGCAAAATCTTGCTTCCTGTGACGCTCTTGACCTGCGCTATACCATGGGAATCACGAAGAATAACGCCAATTTATGACGGTGTAAGTCCCTTCTTCGCGAATTTGCAAATGTTCTCTCCTACCTGAAACCCAAACCAGTCTACAATCCATTTACAAACACCGTCCAAATGCACATAGGGATTCTACACGGCAGTGAAACGGAAATGCACGAAAGCAATTCATGCACCTAAAGGAAAATTTTGCACTATAATAAGGAAGAATCTTACATCTTGTGAAGAAATCTTCAGCCAACTTGGTGGAGTTCTCTTGTAAGGCAGCGCTGAGGCAGAAATACCCTTCCTATTGCAAACAAAACGCGCAAAATCATATTTAGCGATACCCAAATTAGCATAAAAACAAAGTTACACAGACCCACACACACACACACACATATATATATATAGAGAGAGAGAGAGAGACCCACGGCTGTGCATACGACCCATGGCGGCAACGACGGCGAAGATAGAAGTGCAATGGAGCTTCTTCAACCTCTATTTTGCACTATGCCAGAAACCCTAATTTCACAATTCGGGATTTAGGAGGAGGATGAAAGCGATCAATATAATGTAATTCCTTTAACTGTAGTTTTGGGCCAGGCCCAATATTTTAATGTTCCTTCACCGCATCTATAATATTGGGCTTTGGACACCTAAATTGGGCTCAAATTTGGATGGAAAATACAAAAAGTAAGCCCACTAACCACTTTGATTATTTTAAATATTTTTAATTATAATTTTATACTATCAATCCACACTCTTGATTCATCTATGTACCACTTTTATACCAACGTCACATTTTTATTTTTGAATAGCGAGATTAAAATTTCAATTATAAGTTAACATTTTATTTTTAGAACATGACGTCACGAGCCATAGATTGTTAGTCGTTTGCATGATTTGTTGAAAAGACAGTGATTCACCTACATTACACGCGGTCAACAGTCGATGAAGAATAGTCAACACGTCACAACTCTTGGACCTCTACTTTTACGACGACACGACGTGTCGTAGATTGTTAAAAAAAAATGGTCCCTCTACTTTTATTTTTTTGCATAATTTATTGAACAGAACGAGTGGTTCAATCTAAGAAAAAAAAAAATTAAAAGGTGTGTAGTATGTGGATAACGTTCGGTCTCTCGTCTTGATAGTATTGTTGATATAACTCAATTTATAATTGTTACAAATGATCTTAATCTTGAGTGCTTTATGAATTATTATCTACGAGGATTTGACATTTTTTTGAACCCGGTCAAATAGATCCCAACAGACGAAATTCACTTTTTATTTTCTAGATGAGTAGTTTTCGAGTTGACTTGAGAAAAAAAACGTCGTTTTCGTCTTTAAAGTATGAATAAAGACATCGACCCATTTGGTTCCACATTTGTCCGTTTTAATTTTCTAGAATCTTCATTTTTTCTAATTTGCAACATAATTTTTATTCTTATAAAGTGTTTTTTTTAATATATGAGTATTACTCAATTTTTTAAAATTTTATAAATATTTTAAAGACAAATTAAAAAATTTAAAGCATTTTATTAATTTAGTAAAAAAATAAAATACATTTCCTTCCATTTATAATAAAAAATTATTTTATTTTTCAAATTCTCCTCTTAATCCCGTACGCTCGCTCCCATCGAACACACCATATGGGCCTTCATAATTTGATCCACGTGGATGACCGTTTTTTCTTACGGTGGGGTTGCGGGCCGGGGAGTTCTTACCCGATTTGAATTTTGAAATTGAGTCCGCCGCCGCATGTCGTGGCAGGTACTGTTGCGTGCGTACAAACAAATAGGAGACCAACACGTGGCACATATAGGAAGGAGAGAAATGATCTGGGCCGTTGGAATTTGATTGGGAATTGCGAGAATGGACGGCTTTGGATGAACGCCCATTTACAGAATTTATTATGAGCTGACACTGCTTTACTTTATATGTCCCATTTTTCCGTACTCCCTGTTGACTCTGTTTCGCCTCATTTGTGTAATTTCTTTCAATTTCAATTTTTTATTTTTCTTAAAAAACATTATTATTCGTTAATTTTTTTTTAAAAATATCTCTTTTAAATTTTATTTTAAATATCAAATAAACTAATTTAAATTAATAAAAATATTTTCACTCCCCACTTATCTGAAAAAAAAAAATCTATAAATTTTGAAAAGTTTCAATAAAAAAATTTATTAAATTAAAAAAAAAAAAATACTTATACTATCATTAAAATTTCGTTCTTATTTTTAATTATAGTTTCAGAAATAATAATTTTTTTTTTGAAATTTTTAAATTTTTTTGAAGGGCATGAATGAATTTTTTTTAAATGTATTTTTAAATATTTTAAGAATTTAAAAGAGTTATATTTTAAAGTTTGGTGTGTATATAATAATTATTCGATAAAACGTTATTTAATGACTTCTAAGCATTTTGAATTTTAATAGAGGTTGTTTTATACCTTAATTTTTATTTTTTATAAAATTATTTAAAAATTAATTTTAATCATTTTATTGAATATTTAAATAGTTATTGTATTAATCAAATTTGAAATTCTAGCTGAGGTGGAAGATATTTTTGCTTTATTTTTTATTTAGATTGATAATTAATTTAATGAAATTGAAGATAAAGTAAAAATATATTTAAATAGTTTTTTATTTATTTGTGTGTAAAAAGCTGACATCATTAATAGTATTTTAATTAAAAATTATTGAAATTAAAAAAAAAATAGCACGTAAATCAATATTGGAATTGAAAAAAGTAAACATATTCTTTTGATTGCATTTCGAAAATTTAAATTTAAACCATAAAATATGTTATTTTGGAAAAATGGGCCAATTCCATATTTTCAAGAAAGAATCATATCTGTCTTCACATTATTATTATTATTATTATTATTATTACTATTTCTATTACTTTCCTTTTCAACCAAAATTTGAAATTAAATAATATTTTTATCTTTAATTTTAAATATTAAATTTTAATTAAGGTGTATAAAAAAATTTAATTTTGAAAGATTTTTATGCCTTTTTATTTGAATGAGGTGGTAAAATTAGTAAATAAATAACTCGATAAAATTAAAAATTTAGTGTATAAATTTGTATAATTTAAAATATAAACGAATTATTTTTCATATATTTTTCTATTTAAAAAAAGTAAAATTTATTTTAAGAACATTAAATCAATATAAAATAATTTACTTTTTAATTTTGAGTTAAATTACATAAAACCCAAAAAAATTACTCGAAATAAACTTAAGTTGTAAGTTATCTAAATCTAGCGTTTATAATCATAAAATAAGGAGTGTTTTGGTGTGTAATATGTGGGAAGCATTATTATTAGAAGCTCATAATTATGAGTAGAAGACTCTTGCCTTCTTCATCATTATTTATTTGTTATTTGTCCAAAATAAATAAATAAATAAATGAAAATGGTGAAGGTCGATGTAGGCTCATGCACAATTCAATGACGATTAGTACAGAAACAGTCCAATATCGATCTCACATGTTTGTAAGGTCACCATCGGGATTTGACCTATTGTCGAAGATTGTTGGGAGTGAGCCCACATCAGCTAATTTATGAATGATCATGGGTTTAAGCAAAAGAATACATCTTCATTGATATGAGACCTTTTAGAGATGTCCAAAGTAAAGTCACGAGCACTTATGCTCAAAGTGAGCAATATCGTACCATTGTGAAGCCTGTAGCTCCAAAGGCTAGTTTTTTTTTTTATTATTATTTTTGAATTTTTTTGATTTCTTAGAATTTTTTTTTTTATAGATAAGAGATTATTTACTATATATATTTACACCTCTGACTAAACAACAATAAAAAAACAAACATTTGAATAATTTTCATGGGACAATGAAAAAAAACATGAATTGTTGTACTCGAGGTCGTTGAAAATTTAAATTAAAATAATATATATATATAAATTATTTGAAAATCCGTTAGCTATTTGAATATCAACAATAATTTTTAAAAAAGTCTGCAAATTCAATAAATTTACTTGATTTAAAGAAAAAAAAAATGTTAGCCAATAAAAACATCATCTTTTATCACCCCTCTGTCCCCTTCTTCTTCTTCCTCTGTCCTCTGCAACTCCAAATCAAGAACACCCAGAAAAAACCGCCGGATTCTGAGCAATGCAGGTCCCCATTTCCGCCATTTTCATTCACCTTCTCATTTTTCTCTCGAACCCACTTTGGGTTCTTGGCAACGATGAGCTCAAGGCCCTTATGGACATGAAGGCGTCTTTGGACCCTGAAAATCAGTATCTAGCTTCATGGAGCGTCAATGGAAACCCTTGTGGTGGCTCGTTTGAAGGGATTGGGTGCAATGAAATGGGCCAAGTGGTCAATATGTCGCTGCAGGGGAAAGGGCTTAATGGGAAGCTCTCCCCTGCCATTGCTGGGCTTAAGCACTTAACAGGGCTGTATTTGCATTACAACTCGTTGTTTGGAGACATTCCTAAAGAGATTGCTAACTTGACAATGCTTTCTGATTTGTATTTGAATGTCAATAACTTTTCTGGTCAGATTCCGCCTGAGATTGGGAATATGAAGAACTTGCAAGGTTTGGCTTGGCTAATTGTTATGCCATGAAACCATTTTTTTGTACACATTTCCTCTGTTTTTTGTGCTGTTTGAAGCGCATGGTGTTCATCTGATTTCAATGGATGTTAACTTTAGACTTGTTTGAATCTGTGGGGAAGCTTGTATTTTCTCTGTTTTGATCTTAGAATGGTCATTTTTGAGGATGTTTTTTTGTTTTTCAGTTTTGCAGCTTTGTTATAATCAGTTTAGTGGAAGTATACCGACACAACTTTCATCTTTGAAGAAGCTTGCTGTTCTTGCTCTTCAATCCAATGAGTTGAGTGGTGCAATCCCTGCAAGCTTGGGAGGATTGGATTTGTTAGTTAGAGTGGACTTGAGCTCCAATCATCTCTTTGGCTCTGTTCCTTCTAGACTTGCCTATGCGCCGTTGCTTGAAGTTCTTGATGTTCGGAATAATTCGCTCTCTGGCTATATACCTCCAGGTAATGATCAATCTTTAATCCGTTTAAACATGAGGGTTTATGTGAGATTCCACGTTAGATGGAGATGAGAACGAAACATTCATCGTAAGGATTTGGAAATCTCTACCTAGCAGACGTGTTTTAGAATTTTGAAGCTGATGACGATAGGTAACGGGTCAAAGTGAATAGTATTTGCTAACGGTGGGTTTGGGTTTTTATAAATGGTAATAGAGTCGGACATTGGGCGGTGTGTCAGCGAGGACACTAGGCCTCCAAAGAAGTGGGTTGTGATATCCCATATTAGTTAGAGATAGGAACGAAACATTCCTTATAAGGGCGTGGAAACCTCTCTCTGGCAAACATGTTTTAAAATCGTGAGGCTGATGACGATATGTAATGGGTCAAAGCGGATAGTATATGCTAGCCGTGGGCTTGAGCAATCAGAGCCAAACATTCCTTATAAGGGTGTGGAAACCTCTCACTACTAGTCGCGTTTTAAGATCGTGAGGCCATCGGTTTGAGATGAGAACAAAACATTTCTTATAAGGGTGTGGTATCCTCTCACTAGTAGACTCATTTTAAGACGGTGAGGCCATCGGTTTGAGATGGAAACGAAGCATTTCTTATAAGGGTGTGGAAACCTCTCACTAGCAGACGTGTTTTAAAACCGTGAGGCCATCGGTTTGAGATGGGAACAAAGCATTTCTTATAAAGGTGTGGTACTCCTCTCACTGGTAGACGCATTTTAAGAGACCGGGAAGCCATTGGTTTGAGATGGAAACGAAGCATTTCTTATAAGGGTGTGGAAACCTCTCACTAGCAGACACCTTTGAAGACCGTGAGGGCGACGACGATACGTGACAGGTCAAAGCAAACAACATCTACCAACCGTTAGGCTTAGGCTAATACAGTTTATCTCTTGTTTTTGTGTTTTGTTCATTTTTCTCTAACATGAAGCTAACTAAATGCTATTCTGATGAAGCTCTAAAGAGATTGAATGAAGGATTCTTGTACCAAAACAACTTGGGATTATGTGGAGTTGGCTTTCCATCCTTGAAAGACTGTGCTAGTTCAGGTCACACTACTCAAAACCAACCCGAACCATATGCCTCCGGGGTGATGCCAACGCGTGACATACCCGAAACAGCCAACGTTCAATCACCATGCAACCATACTCACTGCCCGAGTTCATTTAAATCTCGAAACGCCTCAATCATTGGTGTACTTATTATGACTATCACACTTTCAGCTATTGGAATCCTAACATTCACACAATACCGTCGTCGAAAACAAAAGCTTGGATCATCATTCCACATAACCGATCACCGTCTCAGCACGGATCAAATCAAAACTTACAAGAAGAATGGATCCCCTCTTGTCAGTCTCGAGTATGCCAACGGCTGGGACCCCTTAGCCGACGGTCGAGGCTTCAGCGTTTTAGCTCAGGAAGTGTTCCAAAGCTTCAGATTCAACTTAGAAGAGGTAGAGACAGCCACCCAATACTTCTCAGATATCAATTTGTTGGGGAAGAACAACTTCTCTGCTACATATAAAGGGATTTTGAGGGATGGCTCAGTTGTTGCTGTTAAGAGCGTTTGTAAAACAAGCTGCAAATCAGAAGAAGCTGAGTTCTTGAAAGGTTTGAGCCTTTTAACTTCATTAAGGCATGAAAACTTGGTGAAATTTAGAGGCTTTTGCTGCTCAAAAGGCAGGGGAGAATGCTTTCTTATCTATGATTTTGTTCCTAATGGGAACTTGTTGAGATATCTTGATGTCATGGATGGTGATAGCCATGTTCTTGAATGGTCTACCCGAGTCTCCATTATACGGGGCGTCGCTAAAGGTAAAACTCTCTACTCCGAACCCGTTTGAACTAAAAACTTAACTAAGAAAACCCGAATCTAACTAAGTTTAATGCTTTGTTTTACATCCAGGTCTTGCATATCTTCACAAGAACGAAGCGAACAAGCCTGTTCTTGTTCACCAAAGTATCTCAGCTGAGAAGATTCTTATCGATCAGCGCTTCAATCCGTTGCTCTCAGATTGTGGCATACAAAAGCTTCTTACGAATGATATTGTCTTCTCTGAGCTCAAAGCTAGTGCAGCTCGTGGCTACTTAGCTCCTGAGTATACCACAACAGGTCGATTCACAGATAAGAGCGACGTTTATGCATTTGGTGTGCTTGTGCTTCAAATCCTCTCAGGGACTAGAAAGATCACTAGCTCATTGCGTGGTGCTGCGGAAGCGTGTCGCTTCGGGGAGTTCATTGACTCGAAGCTCCATGGTCGGTACTTTGAATATGAAGCGACTAAGCTTTGTAGAATGGCATTGCTTTGCACGCATGAGTTGCAGAGTGAGAGGCCGTCGTTGGAAGCTATTGTTCAGGAGCTTGTGACCTGCAGCAGCTGCCTATGAATGAATGGCTTGGCTAACTGTTCACTTGGTGAATTGTGTATGAACTTTGTCCAAAGGACTGAACTTTGCCTGTTTTTGTTGCTAACAGTTTCCTGTGAATGTGGGCTTCCGAGGATTTTTAAGGCCTTTTACTATTCTTTTAAACTTGTTATTTGGTTCTTATTTTCCGTTTTCACTCCCGGGCCTCTTAGTACCGTTTTTAAAACGTGTTTGTCAGGGAGAGGTTTTCACACCTTTATAAGGAATGTTTTATTACTTTCTACAATCGATGTAGGATCTCATAATCCATCCCTTTTGAGCACATAGCGTCCTTGTTGGCACACCACCCGGTGTCTAGCTCTGATACCATTTGTAATAGCATAAGCTCACCGCCCAGTGTTCGCTTTAGACCGTTACGTATTGTTGTTAGCTTCACTATTTGTAAAAAGCATATGTTAGGGAGAGGTTTCTACACTTTCATTAAGAATGTTTCGTTCCTCTCTCTAACCGATGTGAGATCTCACAATCAACCCCTTTTGAGGACGTTAGGTCTTCGCTGACACACCGCCTGATGTTTAGTTCTAAATATCATTTGTAAGAGCCCAAACCCGCCGTTTATAGATATTGTCCCCTTGGACCCATTACGTATCACTGTTAGCCCTCACGTTTTTAAAACGTGTCTGTTAGGGAGAGATTTCTCCTCTCTTATAAGGAATACTGCGTTCCTCTTTCTAACCAACATGGAATCTCACAATTAACGTGCATTAAGGTAAATAACACTCTAATCGAACATAGTAGGTTCCTTTATTCATGCCATATCATTTATAAGAAGGAATCAAACAAGACTAAGTGGATTGAAAAGAAAAGTAAATTGATACATCCAATGATTCTTGTGTTCTTGATTGGTTTTGGTCTTCTTGTTCCTTGCTTTGATTGATATGATTGTGTTGCTTTCTCTCATAACTCATAGTACCAATTAGGAAAGTGGAGGGAACAGCACAAAATATTAAAAGGGAAGAGAGTTTCGATTCAAATGAGCCTAAGTCAACGAGGTTATCAAATGTTCGAATGGGTTTATCTTATAAGCTATGATGTTCAACCAGATAAACCGGTTCGTAGTTACTTTTAAAAAGAGAGTTAGAATCAGAGCTATTGTGACATAAAATCCTAAACAAATCAGCTTAAAAACTTGCTTATAATTTTACCGAACTTGTATATATCTATCTTTTTCAATCCTCCTTTGATTCTTTTTTTGAGCTCGAATGAGTCCTCAAAATATAGATGGTTCATAAACATCGCGATAAAAAGATTTAATAATTTTTTTAAAAAATTATGTTTATTTATTCAAATTAAACCAAACATCAATGGGCAACCCAACCACCATGTTCCATCCTTTACTTCCTCCTTCATTGCTTCACTTTTATTTAATGGATGGGTGAGGAAAGACCAAAACGATAATGTTATTATTATTCAATTAATAAAATTAGAAAATTTTATTAAAAAAAAATTAATAAAAAAGATATTTATGAGTGTGTCAATAAAAGTAATAATTAAGTGGAATAACCCACCAAACCAACATTTTGGTAGAGACCATTAATTTGAATGTCTCATTTGGAGTTTTATATTTAAAATTATAATTAAATTTTTAAAAATGTTAACAATACCTTTAAAACTTAAATAAAAAATAACTTTACAATTAGTTTTTGAATAAAAATCATTAATATTTGGATTTTAACAATACCTGACTTTTAAATATTTTTAAAACTACGAAAATATCATTAAATATTAAAAAAAAAAAACCTTTTCAAACACGGTTCAAAGTTTAAAGTATTGTTCAAAAATACAATACTATTCATGTCCCACATTAGTTGGAGAGGAGAACAAAACACTGGTAGTGGAAACCTTCCGTAGCAGACGTATTTTAAAGCCTTGAGAAGAAGCCCGAAAGGAAAAACCCAACAATTTTCTGTAATTATTGGCAATACAGGAATAATTAATTCCCTGTTAGAAAATCTGAATCTCTCTACCTAGCTTTTTTATACACTTCCTGGGGGCCACTGAACCAATTAAATGAAGGTTTGGTGGGATGGGAAAATGCATAGTGAAATTCCATTGTACCAAAGTTCATAGGGAAAAGGGCCAAAAGTGCATACCAAAAAAAGTAGATTAGCATGTGAAATCAACAGTAAAATGTCATTCAAACAAAAAGATAAAAGTATTTTATTTTTTTTTACTCTAAATCATTCACATAATCTTACCACCATATTCTCCTTTTAGGTGAGATTTCAGTGCACTAATTCAACCAAATTCATTCCCACCGTACAAATTTTACTGCAGCAGATGGGAAAATATAGATGTATATTGATGTATGGGTTTTTCTAGAGACAATTCCCTGTATGTGAGATCTCACGTTGGTTGGGGAGTAGAACGGAACATTCTTTAAAGGAATATGAAAACCTCTCTTCCTACCAGACGCGTTTTAAAAACTTTGAGGGGAACCTCAAAAGAGAAAGCCCAAAGAAGACAATATCTGCTAGCGGTAGCTTTTTATTGGGTGTTAAACTAGAGACAACACCCTTTGTGAGATCCCACGTCGGTTGGGGGAGAAGAACAAAACATTATTTATAAGGGTGTGAAAACCTCTCCCTTGCAAACATGTTTTAAAAACTTTAAGGAGAACTCTGAAAGAAAAAGTCGAACAACATTCAGTGAGTCAGAATGCAGGCCTTTTTCAAGAAAGTACCGTAGCAAGTTCTCAAACAACCTTCAAGGCCCTATTTTTAAGGGAACAAAAGGGAACAAAGGAGGGGTTGACTTTACCCTAGTTTGTCATAGGTTAAAAAAACATATTTGATTTCATTAGTTTTCCTCTAGTTTGTCCTTCATTTCTAGAAATGAAAGACAGTTTCCTACATCTTTTTTCTAGTAACAACGCTCAACAACTTAGTCCCACAGAAACTAAGGAGAATCAATGCTAAACTTCTACTTGAAAATCAAAAAGTAATTTGCAAACTATGCAAATAGAAGAATAAAGTAAAGAAAAGGTCAGAAAGCAGTGAATTCTGCCCATTGTTTTCACATCATGGCATATAAAAATGTGGATGAGTATCAATTTCAAAAGTGATCAAACTTGAAAAATAAAAATTTGAAAACATAAATCATTGTATAAAAGAGTGAGTCCTGTACAAATAATTATATCTACTTTACCTTTAACAACACAGCAATGAGTGGAATGACATATTACTAAGCATACTAAAAAGTGAATGATAAAAGTATAATGACAATCATAATAATAAAAGCATTCTTCTCTAGTTGGTGAGCAGTCACCATTGTCTGACATTGCCGACATAATCCATACATTCCACCATTATTGAATCTCAAAGCCAAATCAGAGTAAATTTAAGACCTAGCAGCTTCAAAATAATCAAGGGTAACCTAATTTTAAGTATCATTTTTCAAACCCTATCTATTCAATGGTAAGGTCAATTTGCAGTGGCTGTGTGTGTGGCTGTGTGTGTACTGAGGTAAATCCTGAAACCCATAGTTAAGAGAAGAGAGAAAGTGGAAGTGGGTCAATGAAATTTATTGATATCCCTAGGAATTAGGGAAGCCACGTGGTTTTTGGTTTATTCTTTAATGGAAGAAGACCTAGTGGGACACTCTTTCTTTCATTGGCAATCCCTGAAGAAAAAATTATTGTGATTAAGAGCATTCTGGACCTAATAACATATCATATCTACAAATATCTTCAATTTTTTACACTTTCTCATGTAATTCTCTCTCAGCTTTGAAACTGTTTTCATCTCATTACTGCTCGATCCTATGCCTGCAATTGCAACTAGATCTAATTATCGTATTAAAAAGTTAATTGGCTAGCATTCATAAGGGCCAGTATCATGGGTTAGGGCCAGTATTCATAAGGGCGCCAGGAGAATAAGAGAGGATGAGTTCAATCTATGATTTCATCTACTTAAGATTTAATATCTTACGAGTTTTCATGTCAACCAAATGTAGTAGGGTCAGGCAGTTGTCTGGTCAAGGTGCATGCAAGTTGGTTTAGACAGTCGCCAATGGAATGCCAGTGGTATACAACTCGGCCAATCTAACAGCTAACTATGATATTATTCTCATTGCGAACCGTAACTCCGGGTTAAACCAAAACACGTCAGATTGAGTTTGGGAAGCCTATCCAAGTAACCCCCCCCCCCCCCCCCCCCCC